ATGGGGTCGGATGAGGGGATATTTGGTCGGATATTGCGCACGATAGCTCTGGGGGTTTTCAAACGTTAAAAATGGTCCTCAACACGATTTTGATATAAATCTTGGTGGGAACTTCATACGGCTTCGCAGCAATACGCGTCGCTCCCTTGTTGTAGCTCACTAACTGCAATACCAGAGGATAGACGGTCCACAGTGAGTATTCTATGCGTGTAATCTATAAATTTAGTTCCTGCGTGGTGTTCTTTTGCTGGAATTATGTCGCCTGTCAGCTTGTCGTTGGCCGGATAACTTGCGTGTCAGCTCCAGCGGCATAGCAGAATCGTCTGGACACGTCTTTGTATTGCAGTCCCGGCTACGCGCAAAATTATCGGCAAAGTTTTGGTTCGCAAAGCTTTGTTGGCGCAAAACAGATATGCGCAATCCTTCGTGTTTCCAAAATGCAAGCACGCGCCTTTCTCTACAGTTCTCCGCAGGCGGAATTCTTCGTATCGTATTTGTGGTATCACAGTTGTGCGTTATTTTTAGTAGCTTTAATCACATTTCCGTGTGCACCTACAATTCTTCCGACATGTTTGCGCGGAAAGGATGTTTTATATTGCATGCCTTTTTCGGCGCACGGACGCAACGGGACTGGGCGCAAAATGGCCATTGTAGTCGATACGCCCGGAAACACCATTAAACAACAATAACAAACACGCGACGGGACGTCAGTTTTGACCGTGCGGTGGTTATTTTTAATCTGCTGTTTTTTACGATTTTTTTTAATCAGAAGGCGAAGTTCGGTGGGTACAGACCGTAAGAAGTGCACCAGGTGTTAATGAGTTTGTTGGTGGCATCAGCGGCCGAGCTGGCCAGTGACGGTACCGCAGTGCGTAATGTGTCTTTGCCCAGGGTCCACGGGAACCGGTGCAATTCTGCTACCAACGTTGTGTAGCAGGCCTGTTGGTCTTGATAGTGAACATTGACAGTGAGCGTAACTAATTATCGGCGTTGTTCGCGCTAAGCCGCATAATTCGTGGGGCAGTATCACCACCCAGGGTGAGTCTCGCTTTATATACAGCCACAGCGAAGCTCGACCGATGCAGAAGACATCATAAAAGTAGGCTGAAATACAAAGAAGGTTGAATTCATGGACATACACTCTTTTGGTGCAGGTAGATGACTGATGCGACTATTTGCGTTGCAATCATTTGTGTTCGAAGATGGACGTTGCAGTGGAAACTGGGAAACTTAGAAACATTGGTAACGGAATTCGTTATCTATTGAATCAGGCAGTATTAACGCATCATGATATGCGATATGTCATCATATGCAGTCATATTGTGGCAAATAAGTGAAGAAGCTGCTGCTTAGTAGAGCAGCTGAGGCAACAAAACCAACAGGGCCGGTGACCTTCCTCTGCCTGGGGCGGCAGACCTCTCGGGCGTGTACGTTCGGATCGAGGCCTCCGACACAGTCCGGATCCAGTCGGACCCGGCCCTCTCGGCGGCTGCGGCAGAGTCGGAGAACCCCTCCCCCTCGGCGGCTGCGGTGGAATCGGATAATCCCCCTCGGTGGCTGCGGTGGAATCGGAGAATCCCCCTCGGCGGCTGCGGCAGAATCGGAGAACCTCGGCGGCTGCGGCGGAATCGGAGAATTCCCCCTCGGCGGCTGCGGCGGAATCGGAGAATCCCCTCGGCGGCTGCGGTGGAATCGGAGAATCCCCTCGGCTGCTGCGGCGGAATCGGAGAACTTCCCCTCGGTGGCTGCTGGTGGAATCGGAAAATCCTCGGCGGCTGCGGTGGAATCGGAGAATCCCCCTCGGCGGCTGCGGCGAAATCGGAGAACTCCCATCGCCTCGGGAGACGGACGACTCAATCGATTGGAAAATCCGGAGCGCCTTCGTTACGTATTGCCCCATCGCCTGCTCTTTGTTCCGCTATTCGTTATGACGCGTTTTTCCCGGCTGCCTATTAGTTTCCCTTGTGTTGTCATCACGAGTATAACGTTGTCCTAGTTCGTTGTGTTTCATGTGCATTCGGCACAAGCATATGTCGGTGTATATTCGGTATATCGTCTGGAGCGTCCGCTCTGGGAGTTAGCACAACACGACACCGTGCCATGCTGCGTTGTGGACCGCCACCAGCGGGAACGTCACAATCCCGGCGTTTATTGGGGTCCGAATGGATGACGCACGCCGCGTCCGGCGCCCGTGGCCGTGTGCCGTGCCTGCCCAGGCGGCGTTGCATCGCTCTGCGCGGCGCGCCTCTTTGATGTGGCCGGTAACATGTACCGCCCCCGCCCCTCTGCCCGCGCCCGCCCCCTGCGCTCTCCCTCACGCCGCGCCGGCCGGCTGCGCCGCCAATTTTGTCATTTTCGTGTCAATCACAAGCTGAGGTGGCGGCATCAAAGGCGGCCGCCGCACGGTCGCGTGCTGGCCGCCATGGTCGTGCCGGCGGCGGCGGAAGCGGCGTGGCGCGGCGCGGCTCCAGCGATGCCGGATCGGCGCCGTCCGGCCGCCGCACGCCGCGATCGGACTCGCCGGCGCGCGTGCCTCGCAGTAAGATCGGCCGCGGCGCGTTGTAGCCCTGTCCGCCCGCGTGACGTGCGACCGCGCACATTCGCCGCGTGCGGCCGCGCGCGAAATTCCCGGCGAAAATTGCACAGATTGAGCTGCGACCCGCCCGCGTTCACAATGCCTGTTGACCGGCTGCAGCCGCCGGCTCGTCCACGGGTTGACAGGCGGCCGGACCGCCAGCTCGAGTGGCTTTGCGACAGGCCGCGGAAGCGGCCAGAGTCGCCGACGCGTGCTGCGTGGCTCGCCGACCGCCCGCTCCGCCCACCCCGCAAGCCACGCCCGGCAAGCAGGTCGCCGCCGCGTCCGCCAGCGTCGAATCGGGCGGGCGATGACCAGATGGCGGGTTGCGTGCCGAGTAGACAGACGTATCGAGCGTGCGGGCGGCCGCCACGCCAGTGCGGTCCGGTGCGGTCTCGGTGCGGATCCGGTCTGGTATGGTCTCGTCTGGTGTGGCCAGACTGCCGTGACCGCCACACGTCAGAGTACGGCCAAGCCGTCGGCCCGAGCCGCTTTGTCGGCGATATTTGCCCGCTTTTTTGCGGCTTCGGCGCCCGGACCGAGCCTTTTCCAGACGACTGCGTAAAAAACGCCTGCCGCCGATACATTAAATACCGATTCATAATTCAGACCTCCCGATTCTCTGTCTCCCCATTCAATCCGTGCCTGCCGCATTCTGGCCATAAGAAACAACGGTGTAATATTCTTAATTACAGGCTGGGGCGATAAATTACGTGGCCGGCGGCAGCGGGGGCCGCCAAAGGCGGCCGACGTGGGCGCGGGCGGCCGCCCACAATTGATGGCCGCCACCCCCGGTCCAGCTCGGGCCGGAGGAATAATACCGCGCTGTCACTTTGTTGCATTTCCCGTGGGCGCCGGCGGCGGGCCGGGCCGCGTCTGTCAGCGGCGCACGCCCGGGCCTCGGGGCCGCGCCGAGCCGGCCGCCGGCGCGCCGGACGGCCGGGCGCCAGTCGCGGGCGTGGTGTCGGCGTGTGACCCCGTCGGTCAACCCGCAGTGGGCCGCTGGTGCGCAGATGGGTTGTGGGCTTCGGGTACCGGCGTTCATGGCGTGTCCAGTGGAGGCTCTCTGATTCAGCTGCACTGCGACGGGCGATCGTCCGTCCATCCTCGGAATTCAATTGTCTTCCAGCTCTTCTCCACCGCTTTCTCCTATCCTGGTCAGCTATGATACGCCATTATGCTCTGTCACGATGGTTGTTATGTGGCGTTCGTTGTTCACACGCGACCTCTCCCTTTCATGGAAGTTGATAAACCTGTGTGTTTCCTGAGCGGACTTGTGCATCTCCAAACTTGCTGGGCTTCAACAGACCACAACATCTGAAGGATCAGTCGATTTGGTTGGTTGTTGACAGTGCCGATTCATGTATGGCTTGCCTCACTGACGTCACGCAATCGGCCACCCCTGTATTGCGTTCTCCGGTAGTCCGTGATGGCCCAGTAGACCGTGATGGCCCAGTAGTCCGTGATGGCCCAGTGCCTCGTGATGGTCCAAATCTTAGCGGCCATGTGGTTTAAAACACGCTTCCATCGCAGCTTAATTAAAAGCGAGCGAAAGAAGGCCGGAGGACCGTCGTGGGGGGGGGGGAGGGGGCGAGAATGTCGCGACGTTTATACTTTGCAGTTCGCACACTGAAGGACTTGACTGCTTCGTCTTTGACTTTAAGAGATAACACGGATTAACAGCCTGCAGAACCATACCATCCTTACGCAATGTGGTGTTCTAACAGAATGTGGGCTGTAAACCTGAAACACCGTTTCGTCTCCTAATTAAAATTGGGCCGCTTGCAGGCTGTTGAAATACGTGCCTAACGCTATCAAATTGTGCTCATCTATGGCTTCATACCGATTTCATGGACATGGGCAGCTCCATACGAAATGTTACTCTTGCCCGTGTTGACTAGCGTACCGGTCTTTGCTGCATGGGCGCGTATATATATATATATATATATATATATATATTTATATGTATATATATATGTGTATATATATGTATATATATATATATATTTATATGTATATATATATGTGTATATATATATATATATATATATATATATTAAGGAGGAAAGATGAAGGATCTTGGATCTTGAGGATGAGGCTCTTCTCGGAGAGATTGACCAGGTAGATGACGGCTTTTGTGGTCAGGAACAGGTGCTAATTAAGCACCTTGATTTGCACGGAAAACAAGTGTGTGGTCCAGACTGGACCATGCATATATATGTGTATATATATATATATATATATATATATATATGTATATATATATATATACATATATATATGTATATATGTGTGTATATATATATAGTGAGAGCGCCTTGGAAAAGCCTCCACATAGGGAACTGGTACACCGCCCCTGTGGTCGTGGTCCCGTCTGCCGTGCCGTGCCGTGCCGTGAGTGACTCCGGCGGGCGGTGGCCGGCAGGCGCGTTTGACGACGATGACGTGACACACGTGGAGGGCGAGGTGGAGCCTGTGCGCGACCTGGCCATCATCAACGAGGAGCTGCGGCTCAAGGATGAGGCCTACCTGCTGCCTTTCATCGAGAAGTTCGAGAAGAACGTGCTCCGCTCGGACAAGAAGGCCAAGCCCGAATATGTGAGTCGGTGGCACGCGTGAATCCGCGTGCCGGGAAGCGGACGGTCGCCAGTCTGTGTACCGCAATGCTGCGTGGTTTTCCTGGTGCTGTTTTGCGCGTAGTGGACTGAGACACAGGGTTTCCGTGTTTCAGTTTGTCGTGCAGATTGAAACATTTCAGTCCCCTCCCCCAAGTATTTATGAATGCAAAAACACCATGCTTCCTGAAACATTTTCTTCTCGATTTATCATGTACGGACATTTTGTCCATAATTGATGGCTTGCGGTATTTTTTTTATTTTACTTTGATTTATGGCCAGGCACTAGAACTCTTAAAGAGATCGGGTCGGCGGGCTGTTGGGTGATCTCCAGGAGGCTATGTATCTCGACCTGAACTCACGCTCGGCTCTCGCTGCAGGACATCCTCCTCAAGATCAAGTCTGTTCTATGCGAAGACAAAAAACATCTGCGCTTCCAGGAGTGGAACGCCAATGAGGTACGCGGCGACGGTCCCTTCCTCTCCCCCGCGAGCGCTATGGAGACGTTTGTTTTTGTTGCCCGCTGGTGTTGGGTGGCCCGTAGTGCGCTGCTGATGACGCCGGGGAAGTAAGCTCCGCATTATCACTCGTGTCTCTTTTTGCCAGGCACTGCTATTTGATGACGACTGAGGGAGCCCTGCTCGCTGTCACAGAGTTGAACAGGAGGCCTGGCGTCGTTGATAACATGCAGTATTTCATAAGCTTGTGTGGCGGGGCGTTCGTGAGGATTGTCTGCCTATGTAGGACTTGGGAAGGGGGGGGGGGCGAGAGGGTTCGTAAGGCATGCCGTTTGACTAGTTTGCAGCGTGCTGAGAAGGGCTAGCAGCTGTGGGTCCGTTCATAACGCGTTTCCACCTGCAGCCAGTATGCAAAATTCTTCGCTGATGTCGGCCAGTTGTTGACGTACCGTTTCGCGCGTGCTGCATGTCGAACCACACACCCGTTTTTCGTGCAGATCGAGGTGCTAAATAAGCACCTGTTCCTGACCGCCAAACCCGTCATCTACCTGGTGAATCTCTCCGAGAAGGACTTCATCCGGAAGAAGAACAAATGGTGAGCATTTCATCGCACGCCGCCACGCGGGCCGTGTGCATCAATGCCACGCCCATTCTGTTTTGCCACGTGCTCAGTGAAGAAGCCACCTCGCAGTTGGAGTCGAGGAGCGACGCATTGTGACGCTCGGCCTCGCCGTGGGAGCCTGCTCTACTTGTCGCCAGATGTCACCACCGACTGGCCGGTTGTAGGGCGGCCTCGGCGTGGACGGGACGCCGAAGGGTTGACCTCCCGCCGCGCCGTGTAATGTGGTAGCAGCGCCGGCCAGCCGGCACCATTAATCGCGCCGGTGCCCGGTCCTATGCGCGCGCTGCGGGACACCACCTGTCCGGATCGGTCGGCTCCGCAAGGGTGCCGGCCGCGCCCCACACAATTCCTTCGGAGGCGCGCGCCCGTCGGCGCGGCGGCGGCTCGCCGGCCGGACAACCCCTCGCGTGTTCACTTGCTTGTCGTGATTGATGCACCTGATCGTGTTTCGTGAATGTGGGGAGTCGGCAATGCTGCGAATTGGATCTGTGCAGGACATTAGGAGGCAATAATGGTCCGACATTTGGACCGCCTTATGTTCATAAAGTCTTTTCGTGCACGGACGGGATAACCGGGAGCTGAGCGACCTCTGCACGTATCATGCGCTGGCAGCGTCTGGGCGCGTCACGGCGCGACCGCTGAACATCGTACGGCATGGAAACGACACTCATCTGCCCGGCCAGCCTGAAGTGCATCTCGGGCTCTGGCAGTCTTCTGCTGAGAACGGCAGGCTGCTCTCTGGGGGAGCTGCTGGCGCCCAACAGGCTTGGCGGGGGGGGGGGGAGGACACCCTCAAGTGACGTGTCAGCACAGACCGTGGGGCCCGCAGTGCTCGCTGAGCGTGGCTTCCGAGCAGCGACCGTCGCTGGCAGCGGACCGCCGCCGCGCTGGAGGCCGGACCACGGCAGGGCGACACTGCTGGTGGGCGTGGCGGGCGGCGCTCTGCTCGGGCGACACGCCGCCTGGCCTGGCCCGGCCTGCCGCCCTCTCGCGAGATACGATCGCGCGCACCCACCGGCCGCCAATTACTGGGCCGACGGTGTGGCGGCGCGCCGGCGACGAAAGGTGCGCCGAGATCCGCTGCAGATACTGCCGGCTGACACCCTCCGAGGCGCCGCCGCGACACCCTCTGAAGCGTCGCCGCGACACCCTCCGAGGCGCCGCCGCGACACCCTCTAAAGCGCCGCCGCGACACCCTCCGAGGTGCCGCCGCGACACCCCCCCCGAGGCGCCGCCGCGACACCCCCCGAGGTGCCGCCGCGACACCCTCTGAGGCGCCGCCGCGACACCCCCCGAGGTGCCGCCGCGACACCCTCCGAGGTGCCGCCGCGACACCCTCCGAGGCGCCGCCGCGACACCCTCTAAAGCGCCGCCGCGACACCCTCCGAGGCGCCGCCGCGACACCCTCTAAAGCGCCGCCGCGACACCCTCCGAGGCGCCGCCGCGACACCCTCCGAGGTGCCGCGACACCCTCCGAGGCGCCGCCGCGACACCCTCTAAAGCGCCGCCGCGACACCCTCCGAGGCGCCGCCGCGACACCCTCTAAAGCGCCGCCGCGACACCCTCCGAGGCGCCGCCGCGACACCCCCCGAGGCGCCGCCGCGACACCCTCCGAGGTGCCGCCGCGACACCCTCCGAGGTGCCGCCGCGACACCCTCCGAGGTGCCGCCGCGACACCCTCCGAGGCGCCGCCGCGACACCCCCTGAGGCGCCGCCGCGACACCCTCCGTGGTGCCGCCGTGCGGCGGGTAATAACGCCACGGCGATGAGCTGGTGAGGCGCCCTGGCCCGTCCGGTGTCGGCGGAGGACGGGAGGCCAGCGCGCCGGGGACTGTTGGTGGCGGGGCGCGGGCCGGCCTCGGTCGGAGCAGCGGTCGGTCTGGTGTGTGCGGCTGGCGGCGCCGACAGCCGCAATCGCGCGGCGATCGGCAGCCGGCCGCGCCGCCGCCCTAATCGCCACTTCATTGAACCCAATCAGGGGGCGGGTGCGCCGCGCCGGCCGGCCGCCCGCCGGCGCTGGCTAATGATGGCCCGGCCGCTGACGTCACGCCAGGTCAGAGGTCATGTCACTGCTGACGGCGTAAGTGGGCGGCGGCGACGCTGGCGCCCGCCCCGCCGGCGCCCGGCGCGCCCGCCGGGCTGGGCCAGGGCGCCGGCCCCTGGAGCGGGCCCGCCCGGACAGCCCGCCCCAAGTGGGCCGCGTGTGCTGCGGCACGGCTGCGGCCGGTGACGTCATGCAGGCCCAGATCGCAGACAGCCTCTTCCACCAATCGAAGCCCGTTTCTACGAGGTGATCGTTTTGTCTGTCTTTTTTTTTGTCGGCGTTGCGTTGGATGGAGCCGATGTTGTTGTTGGATGGAGCGCAGGTGTGGGTGATTTTCCGGAGGCCATTCCAATGGGATGAGCTGGCCACGTGGCACGCACCAGTCCACCGACTGGAATATGCCCGGTGGCCGTAACCGTTCCTTGAACTGAGCTATGCGGCCCAGGGGTCACGCTTCTGGTCCTGCTTAAGGCGCCATTTTGCCCCACGGCCCGTGCCAGCTCGTGATGGAGAACAGAGGGCATAGCATATTCATTGCCTCATACGTTTTTTTCGACGCTGGGAGCCCCGTGTCTCCTTATCAATGCACAGCACTGTGCTTACCCATCATGGCTGTGATTATTATCCATATCTATGTTCATGTGCAGCGTGGGATTATCCCCCCCCCCCAAAAAAAAACGCATCGCCGGTTCACCCCGGTTTGTTAGCAGTACCCCTAGCCGCGACAGGCGAGACCGAGGACAGGCGAGGGTCATGGGCAGACGGCCGAACGAACTGCGCGACCATCCAGAGCCGGGAGCACGGCGGAACGTGACGAAACGCGCCCGGTGCGGTGGAAGGACGAGTTCCTTCAACCATGTACCGCTTCTCGAGGAAGGCCACGGGAAAGCGCACCAGGCGATGCCTGATTTCATCGCGCAGACGGGTGCGGGCACCTGTTGCAGCTGAGCGGGTGGCCTGCGAGGCGACCCGTTCAGCCGCGTCCGTGCCGCCTTTGGGCCAGGCCGGCCTGGGCCGCGGCAGGCCAGCGCCTTAGATGGGCCGCCGCGCCGGCCTGGCCCGACCGGCTCCCCGCCAGATCTGAGCTACGTCATGCGATATGGGAGGGGTGGCGACACGGGATCGCCGTCTGTACGAGGATGCTGCGCGTCGCGCTTCCGGTCGTGTGCGCCTTCGTGCTGGCGATGACAAACCGCGCCGCGACGCCGTGTCGACCTGTCCGGATGCTCTGTGCTCTGGTGGGCAGCATGGGCTCAGATCCGGACACTCAGCGGAGGCACCGCGCTCAAAGCAGCCAGGATTTTCTGAAACCACATGGACCGTACACAAGTGCATCACTTCAGACCGGGGACACCTCCAAGGCCTTTGGTCGTGCCGAAGGTGGTTGTCTCCCGATGAAGCTCCGGCGGCTGGGCGCCAACTCCTACCGGGCCATTGCCGGGCCTGCAAACGGTCACCATCATAGGCGCGTTGGGGGGGGGGGGGGGGGAGGAGACACTTCTTAAGGCGCATGGCGTTAGTCGGGGATGAGTGTTAAAGTCACTTGCGTTCTTGTTGGTTGCTCATGATCTGGCATGATCTTGCTCATGATCATGGCATGATCTTGCATCATCTGGCATCTGGGGCTGGAGGAGAGATATGCACCCGACCTCTATGCTGTTCGTAGCGGTCTTCCACTTCCAAACTCTTGGAATTTCCTTGAATACCGCACGGGAAGGGTACTGACTGGTGCAGATTTTGGTTTAAACAGAACGGTCAACGATCAACGAGACGAAAATGTGGCATGGGAAAAACGCTGACAGGCGCCGATTCTTAGTTTAAATAAAAGCAAAAATAGGTAGTGAGGCGAAAACTAATGGGCACACCACCACCGATGGTATTCGATTGGTAGAGTATCACGTGGCGCCGATGGTATTCGATTGGTAGAGTATCACATGGCGCCAGTGGTAGAGTATTACATGGCGCCGATGGTATTTGATGGTAAAGTATCACACGGCGCCGATGGTATTCGATGGTAGGGTATCACATGGCGCCGATGGTATTCAATAGTAGAGTATCACATGGTGCCGATGGTATTCGATGGTAGAGTATCACATGACGCCGGTAGCATTCGATGATACAGTATCACATGACGCCGGTGGTAGAGTAAACTTGGCGCCGATGGTATTCGATGGTAGAGTATCACGTGGCGCCCGATGGTATTCGATGGTATAGTATCACATGGCGCCGTTGGTACGCACCGCCTTACAACAGCCGGTCGAGCGTTTACTCAGACGACCTGTCCCCCGATGGGCACATGCGTGCGCAAGCGCCTGATTACGGTGGAATGATGATGCCATTTTTGTGAGGCCGCATTAGCTCGTGAATTCCCATCCATCATAGCATATGTAGCCGGTGACCGTGCTGCTGGCTGGTAAAATTCTTGAGTTGACGGACTCTGCATTGGCCGGCCCTGGCTGCTGGTTAGATCACGGCACCGGCCAGCGCGCCCGGCACGTGACCACGCCCCGGTCGTCAGTCTCCGCATACAGGGGGCTCTGGGTTCGACTCGGCGGTCACGTGACCGCGCATGCTCCCAAAGCTAGAAATGTTCAGCTGGCCGGCCAGGTGACCCCGTGCGCAGTGCACCAAGCCAGCCAAAATGAGTGCGTCACAGTACACATGCGCCACTTTTCGACATTGCTCTCGGCGACTGCTTTGTGCCACCGCCGTGCGTATCACCTCATGTTTTTAGTGCCACTCATGTTCCGTAACCGCTGTTTGTTGTTGCTAGTAGAGCATGGCCATGGCACTACCGGCCATCAAGTGGGTCTCTGCGTATGCGGCCGTGTCGTGTTTTTCGGCGCGATCAGAAGCTGTCGAAAACGGGTAGCCTGTTGCCAGGCGGCTGAGGCAAACGGCTGAACTGACCCGCCGGGTACCTGCGTGCCGCAGGCTGGTTAAGATCAAGGAGGCTGTGGAGCAGAGCGACCCGGGCGCGCTGATCGTGCCCTTCTCAGCCGCCTTCGAGAACAAGGTGATCGACATGTCGCCTGAGGAGAAGAAAGCGTTTGAGGAGGAGACCAAGGCCAACAGGTGAGGTCCGCATCAGAGAAGGAAGCCAATGTGACCATATGAGGTCCTCCTCAAAGGAGACTTAGGTCATCAGATGAGGTCCGCCTCAAAGGAGACCAAGATCACCTGGTGAGGTCCTCCCCAGAGGAGACTAGCAGGTGAGGTCCGCCTGAAAGGAGATCAACATCACCAAGTCCTCCCTAGATGAGACCAGCAGGTGAGGTCCGCCACAGACGAGACCAAAGTCACCAGGTGAGGTCCTCCCCAGAGGAGACCAGCAGGTGAGGTCCTCCCCAGAGGAGACCAGCGGATGAGGTCCGCCTCAAAAGAGACCGTGGTCACCAGATGAGTCAGATGAGGTCCGCTTCAAAGGTGTTTGTTCATCCGGTGTGTTTGTGGGTTAGTGTTTGTAAGTTCTCCCCGGTAGGCCGCTGCTCCTCGCGCTCAGTGACGGCGAGCCGGCGAGTGTTGTCTGTCCCATGTGGTGTGTCGGCAGCGCACTGCTGATGTCAGACAAGTGTGTGAACATTAGCGCGATGAAATTTCTATTCAGGGCCTGGTCACACCTGGCATTCGCATCTCGAAACACCCTGTGAGAACTCTACCGAGACTATTTCATGGAGCTCGCTGCATTATTTCAAGTTTATAGACACACTAGCGGAGAATGGAAGCAATTGCGAGAACAGCGAGACTCTCGGAATTTGTAAAGGTTCCAGTCATCGTAAATAAAGTGCGACCGATTCTGCTATATGGGTCTCTGCGTCCCTCTCGGAGCGCTACCCTCGCTGCCGATAATATTTCTCCGAGGCCGGCCTGATTTTTTTCTGGGGCGCACCCTCGGCCTCCCGCTGGACGACGGGTAATATACCGGGGCCATTTTTTCTCCGATGCTCCGTTTTACCATGCGTCCCGTGGCCGCAGAACGTCGGCGCCGAAATGACCGGTATTGACGGACGGCGGCGGCGGCCGGCGCAGCCTTGACTAGCCGCTGCACCGGCCGCCGACAAAGCGGCGCGCGGCGCCGGCTCCTTTCTGCGTGCGGACGTCACGCGGTCTCGAGACGCGGCGGCGGTATTTATGGCTGGAAAATGTCGCCGAAATCATGAGAACCGGGCGGCGCCGGCCGCCGACGGCGGGCCGCGCCGCGGCCACGCGGCCCCGGCATCGGCGACTGATTTGCGGCCGTCGAAAGCTGGGCCCCTTGTGCGCGACGGGGGGGGGGGGGGGGGGGCGTGCGACTGCGTCGCCGTCGGGCGCCGCCGGCTGACCCAGATGGTGGGAGCCGGCGTCGCCTCTCGTCCGTCGACGCCGCCGCAGCTCTGCTGGCGAGCTGCGTTGGAGCTGGCGCGGCTCGGCGCCGCTGGCCGGCCGCAAGCCGGCGCGGCGGCTGGCCGGCGACGCCCCTAACGAGCACACGCGGGCCACCGTCTAATGAGCAGCAGCCGACAATTAGCCGGCCCGGTGTCGCCAGCCGGCCCGGTGGCCGCGGCGGTGTGCTGTCGCGGTCGCGGCCCGTGTCGCATTCTATCCGCCAATTACCCGATGTCCGGCAGGGAGAAGGACGTGTAAGGTCCGTTCGGCGGGGAGAGGGACGCTTTATGTTTGTCTGGCAGGGAGAGGGACGTGTAATGTTTGTCCGGCAGGGAGAGGGACATGCAATGTTGGTCCGGCGGGGAGAGGGACGTATAATGTTTGTCGGGCGGAGAGAGGGACGCCGGTCGCCTGGCCCGGTGTGGGTCACTGGCACGGGAGACGGGCGGTCCAGGGTCAGAGCTTCCTGTCTAGCTGCCCCCCCCCCCCCTCCCGGCACGCGCGCCAGCTCTGTTGCGTTACTGATGCTGACATTTGGTGGAGCGTGAATCCCCGACGGGACTGGATTCCGCGGCCGAAGACCGGCATGGCGCCTCGTCCGCCGCCGCGGCGTGCGCGAGCCCATACTGGCCGCTCACTCCCCGCCATGGCGATGCGCGAGCGACCGAGCCTACACACGCGCCACCGCATGGCGTCTTGCGCTGTGCTGGTGCGTGGTCTGCGCTCAACACCAGCGGCATGAAGTCAGACCTGCACACTTTACAGATCATGTGGTGAGCGCCCGAAAGCCGATGGCAGTGTTCATTTTAGATAATGCTGATATCGTTCGAATGTCGTGATGCCTGTGATTATGTGGGAATCAAGAGGCTGTCATAATTCAGGATGGTTCGGTTAGGCGACCAGTCCAACTCGCAGAAATTCGGCGAGTGGGCCGAGACGGCTTGGTGTAAGAGAAGGCACGGCTTGGACGAAAGCTCGTTAAACGTACGATTGGAAATGTGGGTAGGTTGTAAGGCACAGGTGCGCTATTTATTGAAATCGCGCAAAGGTACATTCTGGGCATTTTGTATCTAAACCTTTTCTGCGCCCCCAAGGTCTCCGGCTATGAAGTCCAGTGATCACGTGACTATCTGGGTTAAGAAACAAATGCAGGCCTTGGTAATGGCTCAATTGATCCAGCCGCATTGACCCAGCCGCGTTAGCGTACCTGCCACGTGGCAGAAATCACTGATTTCATCTTCGCTAAACACTGACGACTGGAAGGCCGGTGAAAACGTTTGAAACACGTCCGGTATCCGTATTTCAGGTATCGGTTCGTATGGTGTGCTGACTTGTTCTGTAGCGATATGCTTGTTGCATTTGCAACTGGGCCAGTTTTGGTGGTCTTGCTCGCAGTCTCCCTCGGCGCCCCGCGTAACGGCACCTGCCGGGGAGGGGGAGGGGGAGGCTATAGTCGTGCGTTTTCCGCGGTGGTCCCCAGTCCTTAGGCTCCTCACGTCCGCCGGGGCCTACGCTGGTGTGTGTGTGGCGGTGGACGCCGGTGTGACCTGGTGGGCGGCGACGGCCGGTGTTTTCCGGAGCCGGGTCCGGGCCTGCTACCGCCCGCCCCTGTCGCTGCCAGGCGTGTGGCGTCGCTGATGGTGACGGATGGCCGGTGTTTTGTCATCTTTAATAAGTGACAGCGGCGTGGGCCCGGCGGCCGGGGCCGGGCCGTCTCCTGGCGACTGCGGCCGCCACGCTCGCCAAATAGCCCGCCGGACCGCCTGCTGGACACGCTCAGCCCGCCTCGTCCCGCCCCCACACACACTACCCCCGGATCCATGAAACAGGTGACACAGCGGCTTTACACCTCGGTGACAAATTATTAATACCTGGAACATGTCGCCTTCGAATGAGGCCCGTAAGTGAGATTGTAGATCAAACCTCGATAAGATCCAGCCAGGAGTCCTGGGAACATACACAAACGTCACAGATGCCTTCGCGCGCTTTTTCTGGAGCATTGACATCGCAGGTGGTAGGGGCCGTATTGCGTTTGGGCCATTCCGAGATATGGATTTGTTAGCGGTGACGACACACAAAGACTACGAACAAACAATGGCGACGACACTACCGGTAGGGGCGGCGTTACGCAGCACAAAGCGGCATTTCGGAATACATCAATCAATCAATCATTCGCTGACAGCGTCTGGTTTTGTTAATTTTTGAGTGTTTGAAATGCGGTATCTGCGCTGTCGTCCGATGACAGCTCTGTGCCCATTCAATTTTCAGATTTGGCGTCAACTTATTCATTTGGGGCTGGCACAATCCGTGTCTGGGTCTGGCACCATCCATGCCTTGGCTGGCACCATCTGCGCCGTGGTCGGCGCCATTTCTGTCTGGTCCGGTGCCACCCGTGTCTTGCCACCATCCGGCTCTTGGCTGGCACCATCTGCGTCTTGGTACCATCCGTGCCTTAGTACCATCCGTGTCTTGTCTGGCACCATCTGCCTCGTGGCCGGTGCCATTTCTGTCTGGCCCGATACCATCCGTGTCTTGCCACCATCCGGGTCTTGGCTGGCATCATCCGTGTCTTGGTACCACCCGTGCCTGGGTACCATCGGTGTCTTGGCTGGCACTATCCGTGCATTGACATCTTCGTGCCTTGGCTGGCATCAATCCTGTCTGGGCTGTCAACACCCGCGGCGTATTGCTGGGACAGGTAAACGTGGTTTTTGGCGTAGGCATCGGAGCAAGTGACATAGTGAACATATCTGATCGTACCGATACATTGGTTCGAACAAAGGTGGAAGTCCGACTCGCTGTCAGACGCCACTGTCGCCGTGTAGTCTGACCAGCACGATGTTTCCGGCTATCGCACGAGTGTCGTGTGAAAAGGTAGCAAGGTGGGATTGGAACTGTTCTGTTTCCGAACACTCGTAGCGGGTGTGTTTTTAAGACGCATAATCGACTCAGCGGCGTTCAGTAAGGTTTGTTCACTGACATCCACTTAGACTTTCAAACGCTAGTAACGACACACGCCTGCCAGGACTCTGAAAGGGTGAGGCCTTTTAAGCACTGCGCTTGGTGGCTTAGGGGTTCAACACTCATCGCAATTCTGGTTAACGGACCGCTAACCACGACCGGTGGTCGTCGGTTCGAACCGCCTGAAATGTTTCGACACTTGTGTTTGGGCGCTTTGGTGGCAGTGCTCATTTGTCCTGCGGTCTTTTGTTTTTGTGGTTTCGTGCGGGCTTACGAACTGCGGTCTTGTTCCAGAACCCAATGCTCAATCGACATGACTCAAAGATATAGATAAATGGTTTGAGGTGGTTCTGGAGGCGAGATTATATTGCAGTGATTGAGCGCACCAGGTCATAAAAGGCATGTTTCAGAACGTGCGCAGATGATGCTACCATCTTCCCATGATTCGGGTGACATTTATCTTTTTGCCGGGCGCCCACTCTGGCGGTGAAAAAAGGATACGAAAGTTGAGCTTGAAAACGGCAGACTATGGGAGGTTTGTTTATACGGCAGCGTACACAGAAAGAGCCTTGCATATGATAACACGCCGCTGCATCGCTGGTACCATATACACCGTCAACTATCGGCTATTCTTGTAGGAGTACGTTTTGTTTTGCATTGCATCGTGTGCTAAGAAGCTGACGCCAAGTACAAAAAGATGGTAGATAGGCGGAGTCGACGGAATAACAGCAGTGAATGTTCAGGCGCTCAACAATGCCGCGTGGTCCTGGTGTTCTCGAAGTAAAACGACGCCGCGTGGTCCTGGTGTCGTCGAGGTGAAACGATGCCGCGTGGTCCTGATGTCGAGGTAAAACGATGCCGCGTGGTCCTGGTGTTGTCGAAGTAAAAGCCGACACACGGGATGTCGGCATACACGTGGCTCGGTCCGCTGTCTCATTGACGCTGACTGTGTGATAGATGAAAATAGATTTGGGTCCAATGTCACGCTTTAATGCCACGTCTCATACGCTGTCCGGGATGGTGTTGACAAAATGGGATGTCAAGACTAGTTTTGTGCTGACGGTAAAAGTCGCTGTTTCGCAATTGACGGGTTCAGTGTTAGTTACCAAGCTCGCGATCAAAGGCGCAGACGTGTTTGCCATTTGAAGAGCGGCGACGTAGGGAACCTTCCCGCCGTAGGTGGACCGGGCGGACGTAGGTGACGAATCTGCCGACGAATTTCCACGTGGTCGACGTACGAATATCATGCCGATGTAATCTAGGATGGTACATCATCACCCGAGTGAGTTGACAAGCGTTCCCGCTTGTGCCCCGGACTTGAGAGGGGCACACACACAAACGTATTCCCATTGCGCGGCACGCAAGCGGAGCGGTATGGGCGGAGCTCAGGCTGGAAAGGAGCGTCGCTCGCATGCCGGGATCCGGGTGTGAGGAGAGCGCGCCGTGGACATGGTGTGTGCAGCTTGGACGGCCGGTGTCGTGACTACCGGGCTGTCCCGGTGGTACAGCGATGGGTAGTGAGAAAGAACCCTAACCAGTGTCCTTCACCAGCTGTTGACAGCTGCGCCCCGCCTCCGTCAAAGGCCGGTGTCCCGTCCCGGTCCCGTCCCGTCCCGTCCCGTCCCGGTCCCGTCCCGTCCCGTCCCTGTCCTGGTCCCTTTCCCGGTCCCGTCCCGTCCCGTCCCGTCCCGTCCCGTCCCGTCTGGGTCCGTCTGGTTCCATCCGGGTCCGTCCCGTCCCGTCGCGGTCCGGCCGGCAGCCGTGCCGGGGCCGGCGGGCAGGGCTGCAGAGGCGGCGACGGATCGTCGGCCCGCCGGCAGTGGGCACCAATGGTGGCCGGCCGGCCCCACGGCCAGCATGGCCGCGCCGCTATTAATGCGCTATCAGACAGCGATTACCGGCCGTCAAATGGACAAAATGGCGGACGCCCAGTGCTCGGCCGCGCCGCGTGGCTGGGTCGCGGGGACTGCGCGGGCGTCACTGGGTCGCGGAGGACTGCGCAGGCGTGGCTGGGTCGCGGAGGACTGCGCAGGCGTGGCTGGGTCGCGGAGGACTGCGCGGGCGTGGCTGGGTCGCGGGGGACTGCGCAGGCGTGGCTGGGTCGCGGAGGACTGTGCGGGCGTCACTGGGTCGCGGAGGACTGCGCAGGCGTGGCTGGGTCGCGGGGACTGCGCGGGCGTCACTGGGTCGCGGAGGACTGCGCAGGTGTGGCTGGGTCGCGGGGGACCGCGTAGGCGTGGCTGGGTCGCGGGGACTACGCAGGCGTGGCTGGGTCGCGGGGACTGCGCAGGCGTGGCTGGGTCGCGGAGGACGGCGCAGGTGTGGCTGGTGAGGCGGCTGGTCGGGCTGTGGCGCATCGCGACACCGGACCGGCCGCGTCTGTTCCTCACTGCTTTTTGTTTTGGAAAGGCAAGCGGGGTGGGTGTCCCCTCTCCATGGTCGGCATGGCCGTCCCTTCGCCTACCGGCTTTTGCACGGGCTAGCCATCATAGAGGTCTGCCCCTAGTATTCCAGGATATGCCCGCATTCCAGTTGCACCTGTGAGGTCGCTCTTCACCGTTTGAGATCGGAGAGAAGGCACGTGTTAACGGGGATGTTGATTTACGTGAGTCGACATTGTCCTAGTTTGCCTGGTTTTCTGCGCTCGTTCGCACGCAAGAAGGAAGCCAAGTTGAGTTTTAGCGGGCTTGCTCACTCGCCGTGTGGGAATTTCTGAAGACGCCTGTTGACTGTGCGCAGACAATAAGAAAGGGCACGGGCCCGGCCGAGACAAATATGAGCGCTATTGTGGAACCATCAGCGTGATCTGCTCGCGACACGGACCGCGCCTAGCTGGCTGCGGAATTGGGGGAGGAGGGCGGCTGGGTAGTGGAGGAGGACTGGCAGGCCGGCGCAAGCACAGCGAACGCCCGCCGGCCGACTGGTCGACCGGGCCGGAATGCCTGGCGACGCCGTCGGCACCCCAGCCGCTCTCCGACCCGGGCCGGCCGAGACAAATGACAAAACCGCCCGCCCGATAACTCATGCGTAATGCGGCCGTAATGACAAGATTGGCGGTGGGAGTCGGGCCGTGGTGGCCGGAGCCGGAGCCGGAGCCGGAGCCGGAGCCGGAGCCGGAGCCGGAGCCGGGACCCGGAGCCAGGACCCGGGAGCCTGGAGACGGAGCCGGAACCGGAGCCGGAGCCGGAGCGAGGGCCGGAGCTGAAGCTAGGGTGACCAACTAAAACAGGAGATGCGCGCCGGCCGGCCGGCGGGCGGCGGCCGGTGGCCCGTCCGGCCCGTCGGGCGCGCTCCCATGCCATTAGACGGCCGGCCATTGTGGCAGGCCGTGCCAATTACGGCCGCACGCTCAATCATTGTCATTGGACTGGGAAAGAATGTCATTTGGCCGGCCAGCATCGATCCGCCGGCGCGGCCAAATCGTCGGAAATGATAGCGTGGTTGTTACCAAATGTATCATTATCAGAGCCATGAGATCGAAAACAAAATTAGCCGCCGGCGCGCCGTCGAGAATCCCGCCGAGAAAAAGCGCGCGCCGGCCCGCGGCTGCCGCCCGCTGGCGCGCGCGCAATTATACTTTTTTAGCTGCCTAAGAACGTGTTATCGCCGTGTTCGGCACGCATTGTCGGCGGGCTTGCGTTTTTTACTGGGACCGGTGCTGAGCGGTATGGGCTGCGCGGTCCAAGCCGTATACCGCTGCTGAACCGGACCAAGCCGTGCCACCGCTGCTGGGACCGGACCGAGCCGTGCCGCCGCTGCCGTGTAGACGTCCGTGCTCGTCACTGGGCCGTGGTCGGCCGGCCGTGACAGTGACAGTGATGGTGAAGGATGGCCCGCTGACGGTCGCCGGTCAGGGCAGGCTCCGAGGCTCCAGCCAGCGCCTGCCGGCCGGTGCGGCGCAGCTGAAGGATGGCCCGCTGACGGTCGCCGGTCAGGGCAGGCTCCGAGGCTCCAGCCAGCGCGCGCCGGCCGGTGCGGCGCAGCTGAGGGATGGTCCGCTGGCGGTCGCCGGTCAGGGCAGGCTCCAAGGCTCCAGCCAGCGCCCGCTGGCCGGTGCGGCGCAGCTGATGACCTCCTCCGGTACTGGCGTGGCGTCAGGCAGAAGGAGGGGGGGGGGGGGCGCTGTGACTCCGCGACACTGATTTCAACGGCCGCGTACGAGCCCGCCTGGGTCTTTGGCGCCAGCGACCCGTCTTTTGATGCCTCAGGCCTGGGGTCATTTCAGTCTGGATGTTCCAGAGAGCTGGGTACACTTTCAAGTCATCATGGTGTATGTTGGGGCACACAACTAAGGACCGAAGCAACTTTAGCATTGGCCGAAGATCGCTATTGTCCCAGGGCATTTGCCCATATTGCCTCCCCCCCCCCCCCCCCCCCCCCCACACACACACGCTGGATCAGCCCCTATCGTTCCTCATTTTGTGCAACCGCACGTTATAGAGAGACACCGGTGATCTCAGTGGGTACACTGTGCACGATGGGACAATGCAACGGGTGTTGTAAGAACTTGGAACCGGGGTAGGGCCGCGATGTATTTTGTAGAATGGATGGGTGTAGTATTGAGCTGGAGCACGGGTGTGCCAAATACATCGAAGCTAGGGGACGGGATCCGATTCCCCGCGGTGCCCGCTCTTTACACCAGGGTGAGAGGCAGGCGACGCCACATAGCCTGAGCAGCTGAGTGCGTCGTAAAGTCCCAATGACGACAACGGTGGCACCGCTCTTGTGACGCCGCGGACAGCGCCATCCTGATTGATCGTACATGCGTGACGTTGATTCCCATACGTCTCCTCTATCGACACCGCCGCGTCCGCCTCTCGCTGGGGCTTGGAGCTTTGACCCCGTGACCACGCGTCTGTCCCGGTTGCGGCGGGAGCTCTGGTCTGCTCGAGAGTCGCTAAGGCCCCGTCCCTTGTCCCGCAGTCAGCTGGAGAAGATCATCGTGGCCGGCTACAAGGCGCTGCAGCTGCAGTACTTCTTCACCTGCGGTCCGGACGAGGTCAAGGCCTGGACCATCCAGGTGAGTCCGGCGGCCGCGGCGGCTCGCCCGCTCCACCGGTCGGGAACTGTTCAGAGACGCAGTCAGTCCCCGCTGGTCCATCTCTGTTCAGTGACGCTGTCAGTCCCCGCTGGTCCCCCTCTGTCCAGTGACGCGGTCAGTTCCCGCTGGTCCCCCTCTGTCCAGTGACGCGGTCAGTTCCTGCTGGTCCCCGTCTGTCCAGTGACGCGGTCAGTTCCTGCTGGTCCCCCTCTGTCCAGTGACGCGGTCAGTTCCTGCTGGTCCCCCTCTGTCCAGTGACACGGTCAGTCCCCGCTGGTCCCCGTCTGTCCAGTGACGCGGTCAGTCCCCGCTGGTCCCCGTCTGTCCAGTGACGCGGTCAGTCCCCGTTGGTCCCCCTCTGTCCAGTGACGCGGTCAGTCCCCGTTGGTCCCCCTCTGTCCAGTGACACGGCCAGTCCCCGTTGGTCCCCCTCTGTCCAGTGACGCGGTCAGTCCCCGTTGGTCCCCCTCTGTCCAGTGACGCGGTCAGTCCCCGTTGGTCCCCCTCTGTCCAGTGACACGGTCAGTCCCCGCTGGTCCCCCTCTGTCCAGTGACGCGGTCAGTCCCTGCTGGTCCCCCTCTGTCCAGTGACACGGTTAGTTCCTGCTGGTCCCCCTCTGTCCAGTGACACGGTCAGTCCCCGTTGGTCCCCTCTGTCCAGTGACACGTCAGTCCCCGCTGGTCCGCCTCTTTCCGTGCGCTCCGTCTCACCCCGTCCGTGCGGTTTGTCTCACCCCGTCCGCGCGCTTCGTCTCACCCCGTCCGTGCGCTCCGTCTCACCCCGTCCGTGCGCTCCGTCTCGCCCCGTCCGCGCGCTTCGTCTCACCCCGTCCGTGCGCTCCGTCTCACTCCGTCCGTGCGCTCCGTCTCACCCCGTCCGCGCGCGCACGCACGGCGCACGGCTTGCATTTTAAGCGTGCCGGTACCAGGTTCGACAAAGGCTTGATGAATTTAAACCGCCTCAAACGCCGTGCACGCATTAGCATAAGAAGCGCAGGGGGACAGGGCGGCGGCCAATTTGGCGCGTGCGGCGCGGCGCCGTCCGTCGCGCCCATTCAGTGTCGCCGCCTGTGAAATTGCGCCGGCGCTGCGGCACGTGACATGACGCGAACCGGTGGGACGGTCGGTCAGGCGCGCGACGCGCCGGCGCGGTGGCCGGGAGCCGACGGGGTCATCCGGCGGCGGGTCGGGTCGGGTCGGGTCGGGTCGGCTCGGCGCTGGCGGGCGCCGAACGGGCGCCGGCGGCAGGTTGGTCTGGGGTGGCAGGCCCAGACCGGGACGGCCAAGGCAGCGTGGCATGGCCGTGTACCTTTTACCTAGAGCAAGGATAGTCGGTTTGGTCCTAATTGTATTGGTTATTTGACTTTGCGTTGGGGGAAAAGTTCGCCGGTTGGAGCCACTTCCGCCTCGTATCTGTGCTGACACGCTCCGAGTGACCTCGGGTTTGTGAAGCTTGAAGTAGGAGGTATAGGCATGTGCAGAAAACTCTTACAAAATCATGACGAAAATGTCACGTCCATGGACAGCCATGCAGCGTTAAACTTGACGCGAATGGAGACTGCGCCGTATGACCGTGCCGTGGAGGCGCCCTACAGCCTCCTGGATAGAGACTGTCGTTGGCCGCTGGCCCGTTGTCCCAGGTACGCCGGCTGATGTTAGCCGTGAGACGAACGGTGGTGTCGGCAACATCCGATGTTGACGGTGTTTTGCTTGTGCGAATGTGACACTGGTGAGACTCCTGCGGCGGGCCCTCCTTCAGCATGGCACTGAGCATCTCGCCTGTCAGTGACCTGGTGACTGACGGTTGTGACTGGTCACTGACAGCAGTGTCAGTGACCTGGCCCTGCCAGCCTTGGGATCAGGTGACTTGCGTTATAGCCTCAAACAGCTCAAAACCTCTGGCATTTGTTTTGGGATAGCAGTTTGGGCGACCCGCGTGTACCCAACTGACGGCGACTTTCACTAGCTCCGCACGTGGTGTCCACATCAACAATGCCTCCGCCCCGGCCATCCCGTGGCGCTCACCATGCAGGGCGCAGCTACCCACGAACGGAACCCACATTACCCACCGGGCTGGTGCAGACGGCTAAACTCGTGGGCGGCGGCAGGCGCCTCCGAGTCAGTTGATGGCGTCTGGCATGTATGGCCCCTCGATAAGCTGGGACAGGTTCGTGGAAGAAGCCACTGGGTTAATTAGTGGCTGCCGGGTCGTTCCCAAACTGTGAGTGGGGTCCTATCGTGTACATGTGACCTGCGGCATTGTGCAAAGCTCGATCTTAAGCTTCATGTCTTACTTTTCTGTACGGACGGCTTTTCGAACGGTGGCGTTCATGTAACACGCTTTTTGTATGCGGATGACTGGCAGTTTATGGACTGAAAGTCCGCGGAGCAGCCCGAAGTCTGGCCAGCACCCGCTCTTGCCCCTGTGGTTTTTTTTTTTTGTATCTGCTTAACCAGAATGGTGTCGATATCAATCTGAGGATAGCCGTACGCCTTCGGTTCGGGTGTTGCCGCCGAAGGGCTCGAGCAATCACCACCCTTTTCGGTGAGCTGTCTGGCGCCCCCGTCAGCGTCTGGGGGCGGTCCTTACCCGGCCGTCACACCGTATGTGACGGCCGGTAAGTACTTTCCTTTAAAACATTTTAGCTGACCGTTTTTCTGTGTCCGTGTTGGGAACGCGACCTTTGAGAGGCATCTTCAAGCTAACGGTGTTCCCCAAGGCGGCGTTCTCAGCGTAGCTTTTTTCGCCGTTATGATTAACATCGAGATTGGGATGCCGTAGCCTGTAGATCGTAACCTTTTTGTTGATGATTTCACCATTTGGACAAGCGCAGCAAGACCACCATCGAGGAAGCGCCAACTCCAGTTGGCTGTTGACTCTGTTGAGAAGTGGGGAAACATGAACGGGTTCAGGTTTGCAAGTAACAGGACTGTAGCTAGGGATTTTTTGTCGTAGCCGGCAATGCGGTGACCTGTCTATCCATGTGCATGGGCAATGCATTCCAACTGAGCCTGTAGCTAGAAACCTTGGGTATACTTTGAACGTCGACTAACATATAAGGTACATCTTAGACGAAAGCTGAAAACTGTTTTAAATCTTTGAACGAACTGACATGTGTTTCGCGCACATTGTATGGAGGAGATCGGAGCACGCTTTTGCTGTTGTATTGGGCAATCATGCGCTCTAAGCTTGACTATGTATGTTTTATTTATGACGACGCGTGGTAATTTACCAAGCGCATCAGTGACGCCGTCCATCACACCGCTGTACGTGCCATCGCAGGGACGTTCCGCGATCTCCCACCCAGAGCCTCCTGGTAGTATCACACGAGCTGCCTTTGTCAGCGAGGAGGATATGCGGCATGCTTTAAGCTGCCTCAGTTCCCGTCGTATCTCGCATATAACGCAGTTTTTCCGCGGCCTACCGTGCCTTTTGTTCGCCATGCACCTCGGGCGCATGCTGTGACGTTTGGCTCCCGGATACAAGCCTTACTGCGGGAAAACGACATTCCCATTCAGAGCGTGGAGCGAGCATGTCATCTGTGCACTTCTTCCTGACATTTGATCTCGCCCTTAACAGACACATCTCTGCCCGAAGTGAAAAAAAAAATGTTCTACCAGATAGGATGAGGTCACGCTGGTGGTGATGTGACGATGTGTGCCAGCTTAGAATCGTTTACATTTGTAAGCGATGCCTGATGCGCGATGTGCGATGCCTGTTCAATTGAAATCGTTTGCATGCACACATATGTTCGCGTATTGTAATCCGTAGAAAGGCACTGTATCGTGGTAATGGCTGGCAACCGCTCTTTGTTCAATCCCATGCATGTTGGTGTCCTGTAAAAATTGTGGCTTGCTGCTGAAAAAAACGAAAAATCGAGTATGATCATCAGCAGGCAATTTTGAACTCACTTCTGCCATTACTTTGATAAAAGCATGTTGCCGAAACAGCAACCCATGTATATCTGCATTCTGCTGGTTTTTCTCCGAGCAATTAGGCTGTTACTACCGCCTTATCTATGTTCGTTTGTTTGCTCGCGCAAGGTGAGGCGAGAGGAGGTGATCCTTGCCCACGTGTGCCCAACTACGTACCGGACGCGCGTCCGCAACCCACGGCTTTATGTTGGAGGGAGCAATAAACTGATCTGCTATCGGTGTGGTGCTGTCCTTGCTCTTCGCCATGTGCGTATATCGTGTCCGCGCCTCGTGGAAGAACGTCAACGTTACTTTGGACAGTATGACTGGCCTCTGACGCTCTGTGATATTCTGAGAGACAGCTCACAAGTTCTTGAATCTTAGCAGGTTTTATTGTTTCTCAAACACACCAACTGCGGGGCTATTTACGCGGTCCATTATTTGCGTAAAACAAAATTCGTTATGGGCGCCAAATGACAACCGCAGTCGGCTCGCCCGTAAACCCCAATAAACAACGACAAAACGTAAGGTGCAGACCGCCCTGTAAGCCCTGGCTGGCTGTCTCCCCGCGGGGTGCCGGGATTGCCGCTGGTCAGGTACTGCGTGAGCGTTTGGAGATGGCCTTGTTGGTGTTACACAGAAACTCACGCTGCTGAAAGGTCCCCAGGGCGGGTCAGGTCGAAGTGAGGATAGTGGCAGGCAGGGCACGGTATTGCCATGTCACTTCTCCATAATTTCTGAACCTTGCTGGTTGTCTGTGAAGATAATTGCAGGTGCCGACTTGACGTTGTGGGCGGGTGTTTCACTACATGAAGTCCGCTGCACTACTGTCACTACATCGCTACGGCGAGGTCGCTTGCTGGCCTGGAGGAGACCGTTCTAGAAAAAAAAACGCGCTTTGTGACTACGCTGCTTTTGCATTACTCGCCTTACTTTGTTACCATATACTACTTCAAAACCCTTCACGATAGATAACAGTCCTTCAACGTCATTAGACGTCGTATGGTGTTGCGTTTGTATTCTGTTGTACAGGAAATATATATTTCATCCTGCTATATGGTATATGTCGTTTTCTTTTCAATTGTGATAGTGAGTGCTATTGAGCTTAACGCGAAGATGGCGTCAGCGCGCCCATTTCAGCGCTGTAGCAGCGACCTCCGCCGACGCCTCGGTAGTCTGGTGTCAAACCGCACCTGTCGCAGGCGCATCCGTGGCGACCTCCGCCGATGCCTCGGTAGTCTGGTGTCAAACCGCACCTGTCGTAGGCGCATCCGTGGCGACCTCCGCCGATGCCTCGGTAGTCTGGTGTCAAACCGCACCTGTCGCAGGCGCATCCGTGGCGACCTCCGCCGATGCCTCGGTAGTCTGGTGTCAAACCGTACCTGTCTCAGGCGCATCCGTGGCGGCCTCCGCCAGTGCCTCGGTAGTCTGGCGTCAAACCGCACCTGTCCCGGGCGCATCCGTGGCGACCTCCGCCGATACCTCGGTAGTCTGGTGTCAAACCGCACCTGTCGCAGGCGCATGCGTGGCGACCTCCGCCGATACCTTGGTAGTCTGGTGTCAAACCGTACTTGTCGGAGGCGCATCTATGGCGACCGTTTCACAGCCGTCGCTGACGAGAACGCGGACAGCGCGCCGTTCTGTCAGTGTTGTTGAGAGGCTGGAAATCCAAGTCGAGGGCCTGCTGTTGGTGATGAGAATCGCAGAATGACATGCGTTTAGTAGTGTGTCTTGCTGTCAAAAGTTGCTTCATCGATGGTGTGGCGACAAGTAGTAATGGGCGGATCTGTGCTGACGTGTTCAGGGCTGAACACGGAAAACCAGTCTCCTGGCAGTCTTGCCGGCACGACTGTATTGGCGGTTATACTTTGCCACTTTTGCCGCTTCCTTTCTAAGCTTCTATCGTTCGTGCAGTGTGTTGCCGTTGACAACATCTCACGGTCGGTATTTTTACCCCATGAAGCCCGTCAGTTGAGTTAGCTATTGGATTTCAAGGGCGTGTCAGTTGCAATGGCTATTTGCGCCCAAAGCCCGTCAGTTCAAGCCGTGCCGTAATGGTCATGATTTTCAAGCAGGTCATGCGATGCACCATACCAGGTGATGTTCACGGAGTGAGACTTCTGTGACATGGTTGGCATATTTCAAGCGCCAGACAAATGCGGTGTGTTTTTTTCCGCGGCTGGCTTATCTCCTGGCGTGGCATTGGCGTGACCTGTGCCGTCTGAACCTTGCCCTCAGGCCGGCACTAAGGCGCCCCAGGCTGCTGGCCGAATTCACACAGACTTCGAGAAGGGCTTCATCATGGCCGAGGTGATGAAGTACAAGGACTTCCACGAGCTAGGGTCGGAAGCTGCCGTCAAGGTAAGTGGTGTCGATCGCAAATTGTGGGGAAGTGTTCGGATTTCTACTCCGTTTATCCTGCGACGCTGGCGGGAGGTCACGAGGAGAGGCCCAGTACGGCTACAATCTGGACAATGCAATGTGGCGCTCATTAGCCCGGGCGCTACGAGAACAGCTGCGCCACAGACGTGTGGCGGAACTTGCTGAAACTTCTAATTCTGACGCTTGAGTAAAGGTGGCGCAGGCATAATCAGGCTACAACAACCCGTCCTGAGGTGAGCGTACATCGGGACAGGGAAAAGGAACGTAGTTCGCTATTGCATTGTATTATATTGCACGGCTGGGACATGTCAGACAATATATATATATATATATATATATATATATATATATATATATATATTTATATTTATATATATATATATATATTTATATATATATATATATATATATATATTTATATTTATATATATATATATATATATATTTATATATATTGTCTGACGATATATATGTCTGATATAGGCTATGTCTGATATATATATATATATATATATATATATATATATCCTGTTTGCACGGAGATCGCGCAAATGTGCATGGCTTCCTAGCTCTCTGATGTTAGCTGGAAGGTTTTGTAGGTACGCCTGTTGAGTGGTGGGGGCCACCACAAAGGCCTGTAACTAGGTATAGTGCAGGGATATTTTCACTACTGCTGCAGAAAAATTGATACGACTGCTTTATTTTACTGAGTAGCAATGGGCAGTTATGGGTCACGCGACACAAAATGTCACTCGTTTAAACGATTGCTTTATTGTACTGAATAGCAATGGGTAGTTATGGGTCATGCGACAGAAAATGTTACTCGGTTAACGGCGTGAGATCAAACAATGAAGTCGCGGGTGTAGTCAAACCGGAATATTGCGAGGTATTTGCGAACGCATATAATGTGTTCGAAAATTGCATTTCGTATGACTCACAATACCATGGGTGAGCTTAACGTTCTGGTTTGCGCAATACCAAAACCCAAGCTCATGCCGTTGCACATCTGTTTAAAAAGTGTTCTGACTGACATTGGACCCAGGATTGTTGTATGTTATTTTTTGGGGGAGAGGGGTTTTATGTATATTCCTAAAACGTCACGTCACTCAGCAAGCACTTAAGCGTGTAAGATTTATTGTTGCCTGAAAACTAGATGAGATCAACTACTCATGATGTTCAGCCCGTCGGAAACCTTCATATTTGTTTATTGTGATGATGTTACCGATTGGTAAAACATCTGTTTGGATGAGCTTTGTCCTGCCTGACCTCTTATGACGTAGGTGATGAATGGCCACTGATACTACAAACGCGTAACGTACGTTCGACGCCAAGCCTGTCGATGTTGTTTGCAGACCTGCCATTCACCAGTCTGTGGCCATATCATTGATCGTTAGTCGGCCAGCTGTGTGGTGGGAGATGGGCAACGGGCATGCGGCAGCAGCGAATAATACAGAGCAAACATATGCAACGATACAACAACCAAACAACAACAAAAAACACGCAAACAGTGTGCTCGGAAGATCTGTTTTGCTCTGGGGGCATTTTGCGTATCAAACTTCCCATCAAAAGGCTTGTGATGATGCGTGCTTTATATCTTAGACGGGCATAGCGAGCGCAGAACGCTTTCTATGAACCCCACTTCGTGAGAATCGTAAAGACTAAAACGGAAAATGGTCCCCAACTAATTTTCCGAGCGCGCTCTGGGTCTAAGTTGCGGCTTTTCGCGTCTCGCCGGACAAGTGACGTCATTCGTCACTGTCTTCAGTGAGCTTTGTCCTCGGTGCACCGTGGGCAAGTGGCGCTGTTCGTCACTGTCTGCGGTGAGCTTTGTCCCCAGTGCACTGGAACAGCGCACTCAGCCTGCCGCCTTCTTAGTGCGAGCCTTGGAAAAGAGCGAAAGCCTTCAAAAGCTTTATAGCCTCATGAGGCGACGGCTACGAGCTCACGCTACGAAGTGCTCGTCATTTCGTATTTGCTCCTCGCAAGTCCTTCAACAGACAACCCGCCGACAGAACTCAGGGAAAATGGCGTCATGCTGGGATATGTTGAGATCCAGGGTGTCGGAGTCCTCTGGGTCACGCAAAGGGTGCGTGTTCTGTGGGTGGTTCAGCTTCAGTGTTCAGGTTCAGCCACTCGTGTGTTCTGATAAATCCAAAAACTGCCGGCCATGTCGGCTGGCTGTGACGTCACCCGACCGGTACCAGAACACGCGTCAGCGTTGGCATGGGAGCTGATTACCAAAGCGCTTTGTTTCATAGAACGTGGTGAGAGGTCCTTTTGCCGCACCGCAACAGATTCCTGGACCTGTCTTTTGACTCGGAGATCTTTGATCTTTTATGTTTGACTCATAGACCTTTGATGTTTGGTGTATCTTTGATCTATACTGTTTCGTTTTACAGGAACACGTCTAACAACTTGATAGGAAGGAAAGCAAATCACCTTGTGCTCAATACGTGGTCACGATGTAATCGCAACGTGTTGGCTGGCGTGGCTGCCAAGCGAGCCGCGCTGACTCCACGTACACATTCTTTGCCAATCCATGCCGGAGACCTATACCCGGTAATTACGACCTAGCTGCACAACAAATGAGAGCGGTGTTCGGATGGGGCGGGTAGCAGCAGGCTCAGAGCGATAAAACATAAAAAACATAAAAGTCTGGGCCTGTGATCATTTCGCTCCCGCCAAGCTGGCCAGAAGGAGGTGTCGCTGTATAATGCGGATCGGGCGTACGTGCGCGACCCATGGCTGCCAGTCGCGTGGTGCCGTTAGGTCTCTGTCATCTAGGGAAATAGGTGTCACTCGTTGCCACGAACACAGCTCGAAACGCGGTGTTTTGACGAGACAATCAATGTTGGCCTGTTGACGTCGTTTATTCCGGCATCTCATGGTATATTGGATGAAGAAAGAATTGTGTATTATTATCAGTATAACGACTTCAGACTCATAGTGTCGAAAAACCACTACCCTCAATACCCTTCTTGCCCATGCCAAGAAAACAACGCGTTTGGGGCATGCATTGTTCGCCGCCGCCAACGCTCCAAGAAGACCAAGAAAGAAGTGACTCTCCTCTCTACATGTGACACCTAAGAACTGACGTGGATCTTTTTGGAGGTGGAGGAGGTGAGGGGCCCCCTCTGCCTGTCCTCCCGGCCGCCGCCGCCGCCGGCCCTGACAGTCGTCGATACCGTTATCCCTTCGTCTTTGGTGTGTGAGACTACCGTTTGAGTTTTCGGCCGCACCGTGCTGAATTAAAACAGATAGCCACAGCAGACGCCGCTTCGATTTGTAAAGGAAGTCCTCTAAAATCGAATAGGCCATAGCAGTTCTCTTAATGCACCATAATGCAGTTATTCGACAAGGGCTGTCGTGGTGAGTGGCTCCACGACGGTGAATCAGATCCTCAACAAGCCGCCTGCCAGACGCATGCCCGTTTTCAGTGCACCATTCACCGTTCGCGATGTTGTTCGCACATATGCAGAGTTTATCGAAGACCGCCTTTTTCATTTCGGTCGAAATGCTCCGCGTCTTGCTTTTTTGCTATGCTTGACAACGGCTCTCACGGGGTACAGGCTACAGGTCAGCTGTTCATTAAACGGTTCATTTTTAGTTGACATAGGATTTTGAGCCATCTGCAAGCGATGGTAAGCACTTAGCAGTTATGTGCGCAAAATGACCATCACAGTCAGCGCTCCCTAGAACACCAATCATCATCATTATCGTCATAATCTTACTCATCATCGTCATCATCGTTATCATTGTCGACGACGACGACGACGACGACGACGACGACGACGACGACGACAACGGCGATGACGACGACGTCGTCGTCATGAGACGCAATAATATAGGATCAATTGAACGATCAACTTGGTGAATCTTGAACTAAATAGTTGACTGAACGGTTCGACTGGCGAATCCACAATCGCTGAAAGAGCTCTTGCCAATCCATTAGTCAAACGCTTTTTTATTCATTACAACTGCAATGGTGGTAAATGAACACAATAACACGACCACTTACAATAGCGTGATGAGCCAGAGGGAAAAGGGTATCTATCCAACGCTCTCTCCTCCTTTGCGATTCGTCGCTTCAGCGCGCCACGGGCAGCGAGTACCGTAATTCAAAGTTACTACCCTACCCACTAGATGTCAGGGCCGTCGGCCACCAGTCGCCGCCGCGCGCAGTCGGCGGTGGCGCACAGCAGCTCACCGTCGGCGTCGATGAAGCCGCGCCCAACTAGCGACGTGCCGCACGTGGCGCACGTGAAGCAGGCGTTGTGCCAGCTGCGCTCCTGGAAGACGCTGTATCGGGTGCCCGGCTCGCGTGCGATAGGGCCGCGGCACTTGTCACAGCGCTTGGCGAAGAGCCGAGTGTAGCAGTCTGCGCAGTAGGGCCGCTGCTGGCGGCCTGCGGAACTTGTGGCCGGCCAGCGGTACGTCGCAGCTGGCGCAGACAAAACACTCGCGGTGCCACGTGTCGCCCTGGTACGTGACGCCCAGACTGGTGATGGTGCCGTCGCAGCGGCGGCAGCGCGCCGCGAACGTCTCCTCGTAGCAGCGCGGGCAGTAGAGCCGCTGCTCCTTGGGCAGGAAGGTGCGCGCGCCCAGCGGCACGTGACAGACGCAGCACACGAAGCAGGCCTGGTGCCACTGGAGCGCCTTGTAGGCCACCTGCGGCTGGCCGGGGGCGATGGGCCGGCCACAGCGGTCGCAGCCGGGCGCCCCCTGGCTGCCCAGGCAGCCGGCGCACTGGGCCTGGCCGGCGCGCACCGCGAACGGCCGGCCCTCGAGCGGCGCCGCGCACGTGGCGCACGCAAAGCAGGCGGCGTGCCAGTGGCGGCCGGCGTGCGAGAGCTGGCGGCAGCCGAGCGCGATGGGCCGCTGGCAGGCGTGGCAGACGGGCGCGCCCGCCTCGCTGTAGCAGGGCAGACAGAGCGGGGTCTGGTGCCGGAGCGCGAACATGGCGGCCGGACAGCGGCGCC